CTCTCTCTCTCTCTCTCTCTCTCTCTCTCTCTCTCTCTCTCTCTCTCTCTCTCGCCGTAGTGGTATCTTCAGCGCAGCAGGTAAGTAACCAATCTTGTATCACTCATCTCTCTCTCTCTCTCGTGGTCTTCTTGTTGCAGGTGTGCGGCGTCTTCTTCCACCTCGAGGTCCGCTATGGCGGACTGCCTCCTCCGGCGGTCACTTCAGCTAAGGCGCATCTGCCCTGCACACATCGCGCGCGTGGAACAGCGGGTACCTGCTCTGATACCAGTGCAATCAGACTCGACTTATTCGCACTTCATCATGCTTGCAAACAGCGATACAGCAAACTGGCGACATGCGCCCACACAGTACTCAAAGATATCGTAACCAGATATGAGTTCTCTTCCAACTGGCTATGGCGACTGTGCGCCCATACAACTCACTGTTCACACTCGAGATCACCCTGGATGTCCCACACGCAATACTCTGTAACCCCACGCAACACACACACACACACTCACTACTATAGCTATGGCAGCTATGGCTGCCGCTACCCTATCGCTACACTACGCTTCACTGCCCTCTTCGTCTTCGGGCGCACTGCAGACCTCCTCGCACAAGCTGCTGAGGCAGCGCTTCCGCATGGCATCCGCAGGAATGAGTGAATGGCTGGACGCAGCCTCTTGATTTATACTTCTGTGCTGCGTTGGTCTGCCCCGTATCCCTTGGCCCACGATGTGCACACAGTCCCAGACGGTACTTGCTGGACAGGACCGGACTGACTAGCTGGGACCGTTGACTCAGCAAGGTGGGACCACTTGCCTCTGTTGTATGCAGGCTAACTCCGAAAGGCCACTTCTACCATCATTACATCCAATAGGGGTCAAAATTGTGTGATTCCTTTGTGGATCGGCTGGATGAGGATGTGGACCCCTCTTCGCTCAAGATTTGGTTTTTCCCCCTCACCCCTTTATTCCACCGGTCCCCCCGCCAGCCGAAACCCCTCGGCCCGGTGAGCTAGGGCCGGGTTGGACGGAGGGGCGGCGACCACCGTTCGTCACAGGCGGGTCCAATCCGCCATTCGCAGGCGGCAACTTTGCCGATTTTTTGTGCTCAGAAGAATTCAACAAAAGGTCTGCAAATTTGAGGGTCCGTAGATTAGGTCGTGATCTTTCAGGGAAAAATATCAGGAAAAAAAAAAATCATTTTGACCGTCAAATATTTGCCGCGCCGATTTTGTGCATTTTTGCAAATTCCATGTTTTCAGGCCCGACCGGATTTCCACTCTGTACTACCGGTACCCCTGAAATTTCTGACGTCAGGGGGACTACCGGTACCCCCGAGGTTTCTGACGTCAGGTGGACCGGTGGTTTAAACTTTAAAGCTCAACTTTTTTAGGACTGTTTATGAATATCAATATTGCATTCATTCTGTTTGAATTCCTTGACTTTGTGTGGTTGGTGTGGGGTAGGGTGGGGTGGGGTGGGGTGGGGTGGGGTTGGGGGGGGTAGGAAGGGGTTGAGGTGGGAAAGGTGCCCTTGTTGCAGCAGCAACCCTGTTTTAAGAGGGGGGGAGGCGGGAAGAGGGTGGAGAGGTATATCTACACATACAGAACACAATAAACGAGGAGATATATAGCCGGTGAAACTCCGACGAAACTGTTTGTCACAGCCCCTCGTTTGTTGTCCTCTTCTCCCTCTCTGCCTAGGTTTACCGGGCAGTTCTGTTTGACTATAATCTAGTT